GAACTGAAATTACAGATACAGAAATACATCGAAAGGAAAAAGGGATTATCATCAAATCACTGAGAGAGAGGATCAACACATATGTTTAAATCAAACAACATGTACTATAAACCATATAACAGTTAAAGACAAACTCGAAGCAAACCTGAAAATAACTATAGCATTAACATACTAATCATTTGATATGAATATGCATTTTTGTTTAAAAAGATACAAGAAAAATTGATCTGATACGATACGAGATATAACGACTTCAAACAATACGAGATAATCAATACCGAGTGCTCGAATCTGAATAAGATACATAATGATTATAATGTAGGTGAATAGACTCAATGTTATCTCTAAACAACCCCTAGAGAACTTAAATGATTATACCATGAACAACATATTTCAAGCTCAAACTCCTCCATACTCTCTTCCTCTCTAGCGATTTAACACCAAACCAACAAAATGGTTTTCACTGAAAACACACACACACACACAGAAAATAACACATATTCTAGAATGAAAAAGGAGGAGCAACCTTTTTATATGGATCCACTTTTTCAACCTAAACCCTCAACATTAAATACTTAACACAAACAACCTCTAAACTCCCTAAATTAATAACCCAGTTATTACATTAATGTTCGAATTTGGTACTTAATATCTAGGACTTAGGGGCCGTTTACCAAACACTTAACCGGTAAGCGCTTACCGGTAATATTCAACATTATCATTTACTTACCTGGAAAGATTTTAGTTCACGAAAACGACATTGTATGCAACAATTTACCTGGTAAGCGCTTACCATGTTAAGAGTCAATTGTCCTCACTTACCGGGTAACACTCTTTTCCTTGCCTTGCCCTTACCAAGTATAGATTATTGGTCTTTATCGCATTCATCCCGTAAGGTAATGTGAGTCAGTAAGCTCTTACCCAAATAAGAGTTTGGTAAACAGCCCCTTAGTGTTTTGCTTCAAAACTCTGATTTCATTATATATCATCCGAATTTTAGATCCAAATGGGATTTTCAAGTACTTCATCCAGTATTGTTTCCCAGAAGCCAAAATATTTTAAGTCTTTTATATCATCCAAATCTTACACTTCATAAGTAGTCTTGCTGGAATTGTATATGTAGCTTATGTTTCAAAAAGATAGATAGGGTTTTTCTTGTGTGAAAGTCTTATAATTATGTGTTGATCCAAGAACAAAAATCCTTCAGCAAAATCAAAAACTGGTTGATGTCAGGTCAAGATCGTCAACAAAGCGGAATTGATTGTCATCTAGCCAAAAAAAATATCAATACAAGATAAAGCCAAAAGTAGTATGACAAACACTACTTCTACCAACTTTTGTCGTGGTATGGGAACATGTTTGACATGTTAGACAAAGTAAGTTCTAAAGTACTATTTTAATAGTATTATATTTCTTTTATTGTTCCCTATGCATACCGAATAATAGGTTAGGTTAACAAATGTCTACATCATCTTCAAAGGCTTAATGAGGAGTAGAAACATGCACTAATCAGCAAATCAGATGAAGACAGAATTAAAGTTGAACAACAACATTTAATGCATTGATAAATATAAAAGGTCATCATTATCATTTGTTGCAACTCACCTGTTTAGAAAGGAATTCTGAGTGATAGTTTCTTAGCAAAATTGACGTCAACCATTTGAAGGACTATCTCAATACTTCAAATCTGAAAGAGTACCTTCTTCTCTTACTATTTCAGATTTTAGTAAATTTGTTACTAGTCGGATTGTTTATGATCAGGTCTTACCTTACTAGTTTTCGCAACAAATCTATTTGTCTTCAATGAACATGCAGAATTAAAGGTGAAAATCTTTTGTGTTAGTCATTACCGTTTTAGGACCAACAAACAACATGTATCATGAACACATAGATCTTTACAAAACATTAAAACAAATATTAACATGTGTTCCAGTTTTCTAACCGCACATAAAATTCACCTCACCACTCGGGTACAATTGTCGAATTGCTAAATTCACTATACATCTTAATTAACCACATGGATTTACTTCTTAAATTTTGATCAAATACTGAACCAAATCAATATAAAACCTCATTTTTTAGCTTCTGAATTCCAAGACAACAGTAAGTCATGATTCACAAACTGTATAACAAAAGAAGGATAAACATTATATCATTCATCTACCATCGCATAATTAAGGTAATGCATCTCAGCTTATTTGAATGTATTCTTCAAACATTGTATAGAGTAACAAGACCATATTGAAAGTGAACCCGAGTGGATTCGAGTTTTGAACCAAATCCAAGGTCGAATCATGGCACTAATTAAAAACGGGTATCTCTTGTAGTCTAGTCCCTTGACCTGATAACCAGTTGCACTGTTGCAAGCTTAATTTTATGAATATATGTCTGTAACTTGTCGAGTCGTGACGTATATGCAAGTTACATGACACTTAAAAACTATGATTTTTAACTTATTTTACATAATCAAATCAAAATTTAATTTTAAATATCAGATTGACCATTTTGACGGCTATTTTCTAGCCATACCTGCATTCTTTAGGTTTCAAATTCACGACAAACATCATTACCATGGTTTTACTTTTACAGGCTTTAGTACTTTTACTGGCTTAAATTTTTGTTCAATATTAGAAGTAACACGGACTCCACTACGGGTGCTCATGGGTTGGGTTGATCGGGTTGAAGACATTTGAACAACTCAACTCAATGCTTGCGGTTTGAAAAATCTTAATCCAACCCAACCCAAACGAAAGTGCAACCCAACCCAACCCAAACCGTACGGATTGGTCGGGTTGATACTTTGGTACATTAAAATATTCTTCTAACACTACAACAAAAAAGGCTTTATAGGACACTCATTAGTGTCCTAATAAGGTAGTTAATAGGACTTTTGAGTTTATAGGACAAAAAATATGTGTGTCTCATCTAAAGG